CACCTTTTGTTGGAGGTCGTAAATGTGTTCGCAGAGGCTCGTAATGAGCGGCCGGCTGCCGTGGCGCGGCGCCTGCTATAAAGCTCACGTAGCCGCGCTAAGTGTAGTTATCGCTGGACTTGTGAGGATTTAATGGGGCGACTATGGCCGGAAATAAAATAACAAGTATATATGTATATGTGGATTAACAAAAAAATGTGGAAATGTTCACGAGGCCTGAGGATCGTTCATCACGGCGTTGGCAACGATGGATTCGTGTCTGCTGGGTCTGCTGGGGACTCGTGGCTTGGGGTTGGGAGGGTTGGAAGGGAGTGGGAGGGGGTGGGAGGGAGGGGGAGGGAGGGGGATGGGGTGGGAGGGGGTGGGAGCAGGGATTCGTCTGGTTGCACCTGCGTGCTGCTGATATGTATTTCCGCGTGTGGCAGCAGCAGCAGCAACATCTTTGGTATTGACGCGAGTCAGTAGCAGTATAATCATCATCAGCAGAAGAAGCCGCAGCAGGAGAACCAGCAGCAGAATCATGATCAGCAGAAGCAGAATCATCATCGCTCGCAGTAGCAGCAGCAGTAAAATCGCCATCATCAGTAGCAGAATCAGCAGTAGCAGCAGGATCGTCATTATCATCACACTCATCATCCTCACCACAATCTTCACCACCAAAGACAAAGATCACCCGTATAGCCTTAACAGACTGTAGGGGCAAGTGCTGTCAGAGAGCAGCGCCTATGAAGGTCGGGACGGCGCACACGAGGGGGTGGGTGGCCAGCGCCACGCCCGGCCGCATTTGTCTCCCCAGTGGCGATGTTTACACATCGCACCAGGCACTCATTCGAGGCTGAGTCTACCTAGGGGGAGGCCCAGGACCGATTCAGAAAATCGTCACTGGCGTTGGCCGTGAATGAAACTCTCGGGTATCGGTGTTCGTTAGCGCAGCGCGATAGCCGCTACTACAGTACCCCTGTCCACCACCACAATCCTCACCACCACCACTACCATCACCACCCTCCTTCTCTTCGTCGTCACTGCTGCTGCTGCTGCTCGATCCCAGCTCTTCTCCGGGGCGTGGCGAGTGAGAATGTCGCACAAAGGGTTATTAGCTCCTTGTCTCGCCTAATGCGCTTTGACGACTCCCCAGGGGGGTAGGGTTTGAGGGGGGGGGGGGGGGTCTGGCTACACACCCCCCCTCATCCACTACCCCCCACACCCCCGAATCGCCGACGACTGCATGCACCTCCCGGTGTTTAACGTGGTCGTGAAATGCCGTGTGTGGTGTGTGTGTGGTGTGTGTGTGTGTGGTGTGTGTGTGTGTGGTGTGTGTGCGTTGTGTGTGTGGTGTGGTGTGTGTGGTGTGTATTTGCGATGTGTGTGTAGTGTGTGTGTGTGCGGTGTGTGTGTGTGGGGTGTGTGTGCGGTGTTGTCTGCGGTGTGTGTGGTGTGTGTGCGGTGTGTGTGTGCGGTGTGTGTGGTGTGTGTGCGGTGTGTGTGTGGTGAGGTGTGTGTGTGGTGAGGTGTGTGTGGTGTGTGTGTGTGGTGTGGTGTGTGTGTGAGTTGTGTGTGGTGTGTGTGGTGTGTGTGCGGTGTGTGTGTGCGGTGTGTGTGGTGTGGTTGGTGTGGTGTGTGTGGTGTGGTTGGTGTGGTGTATGTGTGGTGAGGTGTGTGTGTGGTGAGATGTGTGTGATGAGGTGTGTGTGTGGTGAGATGTGTGTGATGAGGTGTGTGCGGTGTGTGGTGAGGTGTGTGTGGTGAGGTGTGTGCGGTGTGTGGTGTGGTGTGTGGTGAGGTGTGTGTGGTGAGGTGTGTGTGGTGAGGTGTGTGTGGTGAGGTGTGTGGTGAGGTGTGTGTGGTGTGGTGTGTGAGGTGTGGTGTGTAGTGAGATGTGTGTGAGGTGTGGGGGAGGGGGAGAGTCGTGGTGGCAAGGTGGAGGGGGGCGGGTCAGGATGGAGGAAGGGAAGTGGAGGGGGTGGTGTGGTGGGGGGAGGAGCGGTCGTGGAGGAGGGGGTAAGAGAGGGGGTTGTAGGGGAGGGGGTGTAGGTGAGGGGGTTGTAGGGGAGGGGGTGTAGGGGAGGGGGTGTAGGGGAGGGGGTGTAGGCGAGGGGGTGTAGGGGAGGGGGTGTAGGGGAGGGGGTGTAGGTGAGGGGGTTGTAGGTGAGGGGGTGTAGGTGACGGGGTGTAGGAGAGGAGGTGTAGGTGAGGGGGTGTAGGTGACGGGGTGTAGGTGAGGGGTGTAGGTGAGGGGGTGTAGGTGAGGGGGTGTAGGCGAGGGGGTGTAGGCGAGGGGGTGTAGGCGAGGGGGTGTAGGCGAGGGGGTGTAGGCGAGGGGGTGTAGGCGAGGGGGTGTAGGTGAGGGGGGATGTGGCTCAGTGTGGGTTGGCAGGAGCTCGCGTCGCGACTGAAACTGCGTGAACGGTTTTCTGAGCCTGAGAGAGGTCGCGAGTTCGATTCCCGCTTACGTCCAGTAACAGTGAGGAATACGAGAATCGGCCTCCCTTAGGTCGGCTCAGCCTTAAATGAGTTCACCCGGTGCGGTGTGGAAACGGCACCCACCCCTTCGCGTGCCGTGCCGGCCTTCATCGGGCGCTACTCGCTAACAGCACTTGCCCCGACAGTCTTGTCAAAGGCTATACGGGGCATCTTTGTGTTTGTACGCCCGTTGCCGGCCTTCATAGGTGCTCGCCAACAGCGCTTGCCTCCTCAAATGACAGTCTATTAAAGGCTCTGGTCAGGTCCCTTGTCATTGTGGGGCAGCGGTGGTGTCGTGGTCAACGCACTCCGCTACGATCCTGGCGACCCGAGTTCGATTTCGTCGATTCACCGTTCACATCCATCACCACCACCATCATCATCATCGTCGGCGATTGTGTGAACCGCTCCCGGAGGTTTGCGTCACGTGTTTGCGACCGGGCCACGCTCGTACGTTGCTGTGTGCGTCTGTTGGAACTTCTTTCGCGCCATACGTCGCCGACCGTGCTCACGTGAGGCGCGACTCTAGCACGGGCCAGTGTTCCCAGTTCGTGAGCGGCAGCAGCTTGGTGAGAGGGGTAAGTTTCTCCGTGAGGGATGCGCTTGGGTACCCTGCTGCCCTGAGTGTGACGGAGGCTATCGTTCGCGTCCGACGGCCGCTTTCCGGACGCGGCTCGTTCCGCTGCGTCCAACATTCGTCCCCTGCACGGTTCCAAATCGCTCGTTTCTCAGAGAAACCGCAGCTTTTCTCAATTCGTGGATTTGGATATTATTTTTCTTTCCGTGTAAATTACAGTCTCCCCTACCCCCTACGCACCACCCCCTCCACCACCATCACTATCTCCCCACAAACACCAGCTGTTGCCTCCCTCCTCCCCCCACCCTCCCCACTCCCTCCCCCCACCCTCCCCCACCGTCCCCCTCCCCCCACCCTCCCCCACCCTCCCACCCCCCTCCCTCCCCCCACCCTCCCACCTCCCACCCTCCCACCACATTCCTCCAAAACCCCATCCCTCTCCCGAACTTGGCCTCAACGCTTCCTGCCTTGAGTTTCACAGATTTCGTGAATCCCAACCCTGTGGCGCACACTCTCTCTCTCTCGGCTCTCACACTCACACGACGTCGATGTCTTACTCCATGCCAATGCGTGCACAGAGACAACGATCCCCACGCTGTAGCCTGTTAGCGAGCATCTATTAGGGTCGGAGCGGCACACGTGCGCGTGGTGTGGCCAGCACCACGCCCGGCCGCCTTTGTCTCCCCAGGGGTGATGAGAGTTTACGCATCGCACCAGGCACCCATTTAAGGCTGAGTCGACCTAGAGGAAGGGTCTGCAGGACCTGTTTGGGAATCGAAAAAAAGACAGAGTACAGTAGTTGGCCAAGCATTTCCAGCGTAGCAGGAACCTCTTGAAAGGGAGTCTTGAGACTCGGCGAGGCTTGCCTGGGTAAATAATGGCATGATAAGAATAATTATAATTTGTTACTGTAATGTCCCTGGGTTCCGCTAATCGACCCCCCTCCCCAAGTGCGCCCTACTATAGCCGCCTAATCAATGCATTGATCACCCAGAGAGTCGAGTCCAGGCAGATTTCCGTGCCACTTAACGAGGGATTTGCGACTGATTCACGGATTGATGTGAATAGTGGAGGAGGGAGGAGGGGTGGAGATTTGGACGGAGGGAGGGAGAGAGAGAGGGGGGAACAACAAACGAGATGCTGGCGAGTTCAAGGGAGGCTGGACGATATGTTGGTGTTGATATGCGTTGATAATAATTATTGATTTGTATTCCATGTTGACTCCGATGACATCGCCTTATATGAGAGGGGGGAAGGGCAAATGTCGCGACCTCCTCCCCTGGAAAGTTTCAGGACCCTCCTCTGTATTGCACCAACGCCTCATTGAAGAGGTGAATTTATACTAAACTATTTGACCAGGTAAGGCCCACTGATCTGTGTAGCTCTTTATTCAGAAGCTACCTGGCCACAAATGGTAGCCCAACGAAATGGCTTGTCACCACGGGGAAATGTATAGCAGCCAAATACTCTAAACGCGTGTTTCTGAATGTGGAGGGGAAAACCGGAGAGCCCAGAGAAGAATCCACGCGAACACGGGGAGAGAGAGACACGCAAACTCCAAATATACAACAGCAGCAGGCGTCAGGGTCGGGATCAAGCCCACGACCTCCTGCAAACCAGGCGAGGGAGTAAACATCGCGCCCTATAAAGGTAAGGGGCGGGCGGGGGGGCGGATGAGACTGACCCCCCCCCCCCGCCCCTTCTTCCAGGAAGTTTGGTGGTCCTCTAAGAAATCTAAATCCTCCCTAACTGGCTGCGGTGCTCGTGAGCGGATATCGAGTGGTGGATGCGAGTGCTTCGCTCCGATGGAAATCCAGATGCCACTCTCTCTCCAATCTCGGCTTCTTACAGGCGGGGAGGGGTGGTGCATGGGTCGGTGGAGGGGGCGTGAGAGGAGGGTACATGGGGGGAGGTGGGGGGAGGTTGATGAGGGAGCAAGTGGGGGGGAAGGGGGATCAGGAGGCTGGAGGGAGGGGTGATAGCGAGCGAGGGCATTTAGGTTCACAGGACGCTGTTGATTCCACGTCTTTGTGTGGAACGTCACAAATGTGTTAATGCTTTTAGACCGCGCATGGAATTACGTGAGCGCACGCGCGCGCGCGTGTATGTGTGCGCGCGTGTGTCCGTGTAGTATGTTCGTGGGGAGCGGTAGTGTAGCGGTTAGCGCGCTGCGCTGCGAACGCGGAGTTGGATTCCCGCTCACGGCCACCAACATCGGTGACGATTGTCTGAACCGTTCCCTGGCCTCCACGAGCTTGACTCAGCCTCATAAGTGCTCGCTAACAGCACTGGCCCGAACAGTTTGCTACAGCCTATACAGGCGATCTGTGTCTGTGTGAGTATATATAGTATCTGTGTATGTGCACGTGTCCGTTTGTGTGGCCTTTCCGTACACATCCCTTCGGCTACGAGTCCGTAAACATCCTTGGAACGCGATGCATATTCACGCGATTTCCATTTGTGCATCCCGCACAGCTCCGAATGCCGCGGACAATGCCACTGTCAGATGATGACCATTGTAACAATAACAATGATGATGACTTTGGTGGTGGTGGTGATTTTTAGTTCAAGGACATCTGTGCTCAGCTTGCATCGAACATCCGGAGTTGAAACTTCCCACGCCGATGAAGCCCACGTGGAACCAAGCGCAGAGAGATGCAGGCGCGGGATTTACACCGAGAGACAGAAGGAGGTGAACACGTGGATCAGAGGCGCCACGCGGACTGCGAACTCGAAGTAAGTGGACGGTTGTCGGGTGGGGGAGGGGGTGCGGGGGGGCGTGGTGCGGATGGCCGGGCGGGCGGGCGGGCGGACACGGGCACAGAACCGGTTCAGATATCGATCGCCGCTGGTGTTAGCCGTGGCTAGAAATCAAACGCGGGTGGCCGGGATTAACAAAGGAGTGCGACAATCACTGCAACACCGCTCTCCCAACAAAGAAAAAGGATCCGCCTATATTTCGATTTAAAGCTTTCGTGACTGCAGGGATTCATCTTCTTGGTTCTCTCGGTAAAGTCACCACGTAGAAGGGAAATAATAAAATAATAAAAAATAAAACATAATAAAATTAAATTCTCACGACGTTTCGGTCACAACACAAGTAGCCTTCCTCAGGTGAAGAAACAGAACTGTCGGGAAGACAGCGTCTTAATGAACACTGCTAAGCTTGGCAGCGTCTTTTAAGCTGGGTGGGAGGAGCAGAGCGCCTTGACAAAGGAGTTTACATATCAACAGAAGAATTTAGCATTGAAGTAGCTGTGTTAATGTGAGAGATTAGCAGGATGTTAAAGTCAGAAATTAGCACGTAACTGGGAGATTAGCATGATGTTAATGTGAGGGATTAGCATGTAACTGGTCACGGAAGTATCTATGTTAAAGTCAGAGTTTACATATCAACAGAGGCATTTAGTATATTGACGCTAAAGAACTGTAACTACCCGACTATCATACAATAAGTTTAACACGTAGGCTTTCACGACCAATATTATTCATTAAAGGTTTTTGGGTTAGATCGCGTTATTTATAAATGTGTCGTAACCCTCCACCACCCGACACGGCCAAGTATCATACAATAAACCTATGTGAAAGAACTAAATATAAACTATATCAATATGATCAATGTACTCAATATATTCTCCAATAAATTGAGCTATTAACATTAAGTAACTGGATATACACTACACTATATAATGACTACCATATAGAGAACCGATACAAAATTTAAATATAATCTACATAAATATCATCAATATACTCAATTTACTCTCCAATAAAATTAGTTGGAGGCATATTATAATAATTTTTGCGACATAGAAGTGTAATGTATAATGACTTATTGTTCGTAGCTCAGGTTATTGGAGAGTATATTGAGTATATTGATGATATTGATGTAGTTTATATTTAAATTTTGTATCGGTTCTCTATATGGTCGTCATTATTTAGTGTCGTGTATACCCAGTTACTTAATGTTAATAGCTCAACTTATTGGAGAATATATTGAGTACATTGATTATATTGATATAGTTTATATTTAGTTCTTTCACATCGGCTTATGGAATGATAGTTGGGTAGTTGCAGTTCTTTAGCGTCAATATACTAAATGCCTCTGTTGATATGTAAACTCTGACTTTAACATAGATACTTCCGTGACCAGTTACATGCTAATCCCTCACATTAACATCATGCTAATCTCCCAGTTACATGCTAATTTCTGACTTTAACATCCTGCTAATCTCTCACATTAACACAGTTACTTCAATGCTAAATTCTTCTGTTGATATGTAAACTCCTTTGTCAAGGCGCTCTGCTCCTCCCACCCAGCTTAAAAGACGCTGCCAAGCCTGGCAGTGTTCACTGAAGCACTGTCTTCCTGACAGTTCTGTTTCTTCACCTGAGGAAGGCTACTTGTGTTGTGGCCGAAACGTCGTGAGAATTTAATTTTATGTTTTATTTTTATTATTTTATAATTTCCCTTCTACGTGGTGACTTTACCGAAAGAACCAAGAAGATGGATCCGCCTATAGCCTTAATAAACTGTTGTTGGGGGCAAGTGCTGCTAGCGAGCACCTATGAAGGCCACCTGCACACACACACACACGAGTCAGTGAATGCGTGAGTGATGCTAATACTGATGAAGCTGTAGATGGGTCGGAGCAACCGATCCTCACAGCGTGGAGTTATTTGGATCGCACCCTCCATTAAAATTATCATTTTAGCAACGTGATCCCATTCCTGGGGTCACAGGGAGGTCAGCCAGCCACTCGATCTCACGACCACTCGTTATTTTTAGACATTTTCGGCAACACACTTCAGACGAGATGGATTGTAGATGAAATCAATTTTATATTTAAGATTATTATTTTTTTCTTTCTAAAATAAATCCCTTTGTACTGTATGGTGTGTGGGCGTATGTGTTTTTGTTTGTGAACGTGGTGTTGGCCACTCACCCCCTCGTGTCCCGTGCCGGCCTTCATAGGTGCTCGCTAGCATCACTTGCCCCTACAATCTGTTAAGGCTATAGGGGGGATCTTTGTCTTTGAATCTATCTGCATGATCCAAGCCACTCAGCCCCCTCCCTCCCACCAACCCCCTCTCCTCCTCTCCCCACCTCCATCTCTCACAGCTACCTCCTCTCCCTTTCTCCATTCCTGTCAGCCTCCCCTCCCCATCTCAAATCTCCGCCTCCTTCCCTCCATCAACTCCTTGCTAAGTCTCCCTCTCAACCTCTCCCCCCTCTCAACCCTCTCCATTCCCGTCTCCCAGTCACCACCACGACCTCTCTCCCCGTCCACCCGATCCATCCCTCTTAGCGTCTCACCATCCCTCCCTCCGTCTTCCTGCCACCATCGCCAGCCCCTACCACCAACCACCCCTACCACCGACTACCCCTACCACCGACCACCCCTACCACCGACTACCCCTACCATCGACTACCCCTACCACCGACCACCCCTACCACCGACCACCCCTACCACCCACCACCCCTACCACCGACCACCCCTACCACCCACCACCCCTACCACCGACCACCCCTACCACCGACTACCCCTACCACCAACCACCCCTACCACCAACCACCCCTACCATCAACCACCCCTACCATCAACGACCTCACTCCCCAAGCGTTGCTCTCCTCCCTCCCCCACTCAACATCCCCCCGCCCCCCTCCGCCCTCACGGGGCAATGCTGCTCCATGAATGCCAAACGAGTGCACGCATGATTTATTTTTTTATTTTGTCTCCTCCGTGGCATTTCCACTGACAAATACGCGCGCTCTTTACCGAGTAGAGCATAACATTGCTGCTGTGTAATTACATGGCGCGCACGTGTCTGTCCAGTGTGTGTACGTGTGTATGTACGTGTATGTGTACGTGTGTGTGTGTGTGCGTGTACGTGTGTGTATGTACGTGTGTGTATGTACGTGTGTGTGTACGTGTGTGTGTGTGCGTGTACGTGTGTGTATGTACGTGTGTGTGTACGTGTGTGTGTGTGCGTGTACGTGTGTGTATGTACGTGTGTGTACGTGTGTGTGTGTGTCTTTGTGGGGAGCGGTAGTGTAGCGGTTAGCGCGCTATGCCAACACCAGTGACGATAATTTGAACCGGTCCTGGGCTTCCCTTATGTCGAGTCAGCCTCAAATTAGTACCTGGTGCGATGCATAAATATCACCACTGGGAAGACAAAAGCGGCCGGGCGTAGTGCTGGGGCAAAGTGCTTTTAGCGAGCACATATGAAGGCCAGTTTGGCGCACGAGGGGGTGGGTGGCCACCACCACGCCCGGCCGCCTTTGTCTTCCTCGTGGCGATTATTTATTTCCCCAACACACGTCGCACCATTTTCAGCTAAGTCGACCTAGGGGAGGGCCCATGATAATCGTCAGCAGCGTTGGTGGTCGTTGGCTTTATAGCGCGGCGCGTTAACCACTGCGCCACCACTCCCCCCCCCCCCCCCACTGACACTCACACACGGACAACAGATACAAATGACCCGAACAGTGACACACACACGCACGCGCTGAGTAGCACAGACTCACGGGTCTCTGGTTTATTTCCCCAACAGAAACAACCGCGGATCAGATTTCTCACGGACTGGGGAGGCAGCGGTAGCAGCCCCCCCCCCACTCCTATCCACTACCCCCATCCTGCTCCGCCGCTTTCTTAGGCAGGGGGGAGTTGGGGGTGGTGAGAAGGGGAGAGCCAGAACGGCGGGAGAGGGCAGGATGGAGGAGGAGGAGGAGGCGAGATGGGGGAGAGAGATGGGGCAGGGAGGGGGAGGGGAGGAGATGGAACGGGGTTGAGGCTAAGGGCTGCAGGCGGTGGTAATTCAAGAGTAAGGCTGGGAGCAGCTGTGAAGGCATCCGAACATTATGCTGCAAGTGCGCCCTTCGAAGCGGGTTTCCCGTGCAGCCGCGCTGCAACTGCGGACCCGGTGTTCATCGGCTGTGGTTCCCATCGTCCCACTGCCTCTCTCTCTCTCTCTCCGTCCTCTGTCTCGACAGAAGGAGTTTGGACTCGCTGGAAACTGACACAGTCGTTGCGAGCTCTCGCCAGTGATGGCCTAAATGAAACTTATTTCGAAATAATTATAATAACGATGATAACGATAATTAGAACAACATCTACAAATGTGAGCGATTACGTGGCGACGCATAGCACGCGGTCGTCTTAATTAGCAGAACGGAAGCAGCGACAGGGTCCCTGTCTGGCCTTTACGCGGTTTGCATAATTCACAAACAATGCGGTAGTCAAACTATGTTTTTGTTGTTGTTGGTAGTAGGCCGACAAAAGGGTAGTTAGCAGACCCTTTCGTCCTACTTTGGGTCTCCAAACTTTGGCCGACCCTCCTCTGCTATTTCGAGTCGAGTGCATCCCGAATACCAAGACGGCTTCATCCTAATGCGTAATTATCGTAATGTATTTCCGCTGGAGGAATCCGATGAGCTATGAAGCTCTTTTGCACAGATGTCCAGTAGTCACGGATGTCCGGCATATCGGAACATCTCTCCCCTCCCACCACCGCGCCTCCCGTTAGGGACAGAAAACTCACACACACGCGGAGCTAATGATGCATCAATACCTTCACCTTCAGCTGGAAAGCCGTGCACAACAATGACGCTGCATATTGCAGCGGCGGTAACGTACCTCTGGCTGCAAACCGGGCTGCTCAGTCACCCCCCCCCCCCCCCCCCCCCCAGTGTTCGAAGGCATCTGAGGTTCGAGTGTTTGGTGTTGGGGTGA